CACATCATGTCAATTTCAGGCCATCAAAATGAGCAATCCTTGGCACATTACAACTCGCGGCCGTCGATTTCTCAGCTTCAAAATTGCAGTGATGTGCTTTCAAGGGCGCTAGCAGTCACTGAAGCTTCATACACAAGATCTTCTTCCTCAGTGCAATTCACAGTCCGTGTTAACTGTCCTTCACAAAAAGAAAGAAATTCTGCTCCTTCCAATATTGCAAGAGAAGTGGCTCCATTTTTTAAAGATTGCAGCATTCAAAACGAGCAGTTCATCTTTAATTCGTCGGAAAACCACTCCAAATTTAACTAGTTGTTTGAGCCGATAAGGTCCTTACCGACAGCTTTCTTTATTTGCTGAGCAGTTTGTATTATTGTATTTTTGGTCTGAGATCGACAAACATGGCCAAGGTGTAGCTTTGTCATTTTTTTGAATGAAAATTATTTTGCGATTGCGGGTATGTTTCTAACTTTATGTAAGCGGCTCTAAAGTCAAATATTAAATAAATATTTCTATCCGAAATGGAAGCTGTTAATTCTCTATATTATAAAAGAAATGGTAAACGTTGCAGCTGTGCAACCATGGAGTTATGGATGCACTTGGGAGGTTTGCTAAGCACTCAAGAAGCTAGAGTCGCATGAGGCGATAACTCTTACGTTTCTTTCATGCTCAGCAACCTCCCGTGTGCATTCATAACTCCACGCTTGCACGCTGCACGTTTACCATTTCTTAAATGGTGTGTACGAATAGTTTTCTCGCGTAGACTTGCCTCAAAAAAATCTTCTTTGCTCCATACTTTTAATTTCTCGTCTCAGTGTGTATCATAAAATAATATTTTATATGTTATTCTGAATGGCCTTGGTACATTGATTTTAATACCAAGATAGAAACCGTAGAAAACTAAGAGGAAAAAAAAAGTCTTGTTTGTTGACTCATACTCTTTTGAGCACGCACTAGCCTTCGTCAACAAAAAGTCAGATGTTAATCATTATCAGTCTTTACCTTGTCCAAAGGAGGTCAATCCTGTCAATTTTGTGAGTAATATTGGGAGTTTGGTTGACACTTTTCAAACTGTAATATTGCCCTTTGTCGTTCATTAATTTTACATCACTATTCAAGGCTATCATGGGCACCCACCCAACAGTATTGCGCATGTTTACTAGTAATTTCTTATTAGAAAGAAAATTTTTTATTAGTTCTCCAAAAAAATCCTAGCATTGGAACAGAGTTATATGTGTTATATGCTTCTGGTGTAAGCCATTATCCTATTCAAACAACCCCTCCTAAATTCCGTTTTTTGAGTCCTGTTCCATAGTAGGTTTTAGCATTGACACCTTCTCTGTACGTAACAAGAATCAGAATGGGCTACATACAGAGGTCTTTCCCTTGTTGTCCAAAAGATGGACAAGACTACACAAGCCCCAGTTATTTAACAGTTGAAAAGCCCCCTCTGCTTTATAAATCAATGTCCAGTGGATAAGTTTACAATTGGGAAAAGCAAATTATAATTGCAACCACTGGATAATAATAACTTATTTATCTGGCCTGGGTTGTTCAAATATTGAATAGCACTACCCACCAAATAAAGCACTATCCAGCAGATAAGTATTAGGGAAACTAATTGCGCAAAACACTGGATATGGCTTTTTCCAGTGGATAGTATTATCCACCTTTTGAAGAACTAGGGCCTGATGGATAGGGCTATGGGATGTAGTATGTTTCAATAAAGAAAGAGAAGTGATGATGTCACTAAAACTAAATTTGTGAATATGATTAGTTGGCATATCCAGAAACAACAACAAACTGGTGGGGAGAAAGAAGCTACATTATGCCCTCATTACTCCTTGCATGAAAATCTTTTCACTCAAATAAGAAATGTAAAAACTATTAGTATAGAGTCACTGGAGATTAAAGGTGTTTATATGTCCCCACCAGTTTTCACAAGTAGGCTGATTATTTGGTTGCAAGGGGGCTTTTCACTCTTCTTCTTCTTTCTAAATCTGGCTTGCAACCAATCCCATAATTTCACAAATTCGAATTTTTGTGATGTCATATTTCCCTACCCTAGTTTAGGATTAGGAAGGTGCATATTATCAACTACAAACAAGTTACATTTCATTTAATGGTAAACAAGCAATAAACTTTAAAATTAAGTAAAAGAGTATAATTATGTTGTTCTCGGACATTCTTGATTGGGTAGAATAATCAGGTGACATAATGGCCCCTTTTCAAGAGCATGATTACCGGAATAATGGTACAGTTATTGAACTAGGGAAGTGCCATTGGGTCTGAAGTCACAACCATTCAGTGTGAGAAGGCCAGGATAGGAGGTCAAATGTATGGTATTAGCCCAAAATTCAACTATCACTTCATAACTTCACTGGTTTGTTAGGGGCATCTCGAAGAGCTGTTTGTTAAGTGTTCACAAAACATGGAATGCAAATTGCTATCAGTGAATGTCAAAGCTGGCCTTGTCAGTTTCCATTCACACTATTTTCGGTCTATTGTTCACTAGTCCATGTTTAGAACGAAGGAAAATGCCCACAAGTGGTCAATCATTTGCATTTCTCACCGAGTGTGGGTAGGGTAGGGGCTTTTTAAGAATGTTTTCAAAGCAACCATCGCGACCGATTTTTCAATTTTTATGGATTTCAATATCACTGTTCATCAGTAATAATAATAATAATAATAATAATAATAATAGTCTTTATTAAAAACCAATAATGCATCAACCGTGCCTTATTTACAATGAATATAAAATATGAAACAAATTAAGATAAAAAATACAACTAGCTACTAATGTATGCTAAAAAGACATCTGTTTACAAAAGTGGATTTAAAACGTGAAGTACGAACTCTAGGTAATATGTAATCATGGCCCCTGCTGCGTAAGTGCCTAGTACGTCTCGGCGGTAAGAGATCATCAAGTGCAGTAGTATTTGATGTGATCTTGTTCCATAATTTGCTGTCTCTGGTGGTTAAAATATCACAAATACTATATTTCTTCAAAGAGTATCCAGACTTAAAAGCCCTAGCAAAGAGTTTGTCAATTCTCTTTAGATATTTATCGTAATAACAGCAACCCCACACCTCAATAGCATAAGTGAAGACTGAGATGATTAGACTTTGGAAGAGCAGATCTAATTTCTCCTTAGGGTAGCCATAGAATCTACAAACTCTTAAAATATACAAACGACTACTGGCCTTACTAAGGACGTGATCAATATGTGTGTCCCAGTTCACAGGGTCAGCCTCGAATGTAACACCGAGCAACTTGAGCTTGGTTTTACGCTCCACAATAGCAAGATGAGCTGGTGGAACTTAATACTATGAAGCGTTTTTATCCAATCAAAACAGTTTGCAGAATTCTTTTGTTCCTGAATCACCCCACCCCTCTTTAGCTACAATATGAAATGCATTCTGGGTACTGGGTTAGCTCAGTTCATTTCAACATGGTGGAGGGCACGAGCACAACAGGCTTGAAAAAAGCAGTTCCAGACTCCATAGTTGAGTTGGTCGATGTGGCCATTTATAGATTCGGCTGCCAGTCTGGCTTGAGATCAAGCCACAAAATCCGGGGAGACCCGGTCCCTGAAGGAGTGGCCGGTTTTGTTGGCCAGCTATTATTAACATCCAATGCTGAAACCAAGGAAATGTTTGCCACAATTTCCCCCGATCGCTTTGGTGGATGGACAGCCGCAGAAAGACCATCAAAACAGTTGCTGACATTTATTTCCTCGCATATGAAGACGCTTAAAACCAAACAAGCTGTACTTGAGAATGAAAACCCTCAAGTACCGAGTCGTCTGGTTGAGACGCGCGACGTATATGACGGGCCACGAGAAATGCGTGGTAGCTCGTTATCGTCCACGACGTTGGAGATGCGGACAAAGGTGCGACTTTTGCAGACAGCAAAAGAAAAACTATCCCACCTTTGGAAATTTTAGAGCCGTGTAAGTTTGAATTACCCACTTTCCGACAATGAAATTGATGACAAGTATGCAGGTCGCTTCTCCAAACTTTATTTACTGTGTGAATGAATCGTTGAGCATGTCGAACATGATGCAAATAAGTCACAAAGTTATCTAACCTCTTCGATGTCCCTAGTGGGAAATGTTGACAACCTAGAAAATACAGTCAATTCTACTCCAATAGAAAAACCCTTCTTTCATGATCATAGTAAAGTTGACAGGTTGTTAGGGAAAACATTGGTTACTAGAGATTTTTTTGTTGTCTTCATCTCTTCTTGCTCAACAAAAACAGATGGTTAAGATTGGGTTGTCATTTTGCCTGTAATATTTTTAGGTGGTACAATTATGTTTGATTCATTCTGTAGTATTGCTTCACCATTCCTGGACGTACTGGAAAAAGCTACTAAAAAGAATTATGCAGATCGAGAAGGGTGTTATCGGCCGAGGTGGATACAATACTTTTCTTGATTCATCATGTTAAATAAATTTAATTTTTTTAAATCTGTTTCAGTGACTATTTCAAATTTACTTCTGTTCAATCCTATTCAACGAGGCAATCATGTCATAGAAATCTTTATGTAGTCTCAGTTAATACCACCCAATATGGCTTACACTCACTAAAATTCACTGGTCCTCGCCTTTGGAACTACTCGCCTACAAGTTTAACTAATTCAAATTCTCTTCGAATATTTCGTAAGACTCCTAAGAACTCTGTCCCCAATTGTTATTCTAATTAATTACCTGACTCAGCGCATGAAGTCATACTTTTTACGAACAAAATATATTCTTAATTCTGTCTGTCATTAAATTTTATTGCAGGGATCATCCACTAGATTAACCTTTGCCATTTGGATGATCCCAACTTGCTCTCTATCTTGTTGTTACCATTTGTCTTTTATTCCTTAGTTGTACTGGGTTTAGATGCCTATGTAAATTTAACCTTTATGTCAAAACTGAGCTGAGTTAAATAAATCAACTTGTCTTGTCTTGTCCTATCCATGCCCATGTAGAGATACTAGGCCCTGTTATGTA